AAGAAGTTGTGAAATTTGCCCAAGTTCATACAATTAGTAAATGGAAGCCCCAGATTCAGACCCAGGTCTGTCTGACTCCAGAACCTGTGCTTTCAACCGTTACATAGCTCTGATCACAGTTATTCCCAATGAACATGTGCTGAAGACACCAGCAAATTTAATTACAGGTAATCCAGGCTTTGGCATAATTCCAATCACATGTATGGGGAAGACCATCCTCAGGCCCTCCAGGACTTCAAAGGATCAAAACGCATTAAGAATTATTAATCAAGTAATCCTTTTTAAACCTTCTGCAACTTGGAAAATGGTTATTCCAGAGGAAAAGCAAAACAAATTGAAAAGAAGAGTATCCTGAAAGGAATATGACGAAGGTCCTTTGAGGCCACAATTAAGACCTTTTGGGCAAATAAAATGTAAATCCAATAGTGTGATGTCCATGCTTAACTGCCCTCCAATGGCTTCTGACCCAAAAGCCTCTCCGTAGACAATGCTTTGGCTACATGGCTTCCTCTCTGATCTCATCTCCTCCGCCTCCCACCATTCCCTGCCCCCCACTGCACTCCAGTCACACCAGCCTCTGTCCTTCTGGAACATTCCACATTCTCCTCAGCACTTACTGCCCCAGCTGCGTGGCACCCTCAGCCTCCTAGCTTCCTGCGGTGCCTCATCTTTGACAATCAGGTCTGAGCTCAATGTCCCTCCTCAGACAGACCTTCTGGCTTCTGTGACATCTACATCACATTGGCCACCGCACCTGCAGTCCCTCTCCATCACATAGCCCAGTTATATGTTCTTCAACGCACTTCTCTTTATTTAGTGGTTAATTGTCTGCCTCTTCCCCTGGAATGAACCTCCATCAGGGGAGGCAGGGAACTTGTCTACCCTGTTCCCAGCAGCACCAGCACCTAGAGCAGTCGCAGGCATATAGCAGATGCTCACTCAACATGCTGAACACATATATAAAACACGCACCTCTGCCACGAGATGCCTCAGCAAGCCAAGGCCTCACTTGTTCAGTCCATGAAAGCACAGACTCTGAAAGGCTCTCCTCTCAGGAACTCACATCGGAGTAATCGTCACAAGCTGGTGGTCCAGGCCTGCTGAGGTCATTAGCCATCTACATCCTATGGCCACTGCTTTTATTAGTTTAACATCATTACACTTTCATTCCTTCACTGAGCCCATATACTTATCATATCCTTTTTTCCTTTTCCCTCCTCTAACAATTTAAAACTGTAAATAGTGTGGCAATGACCAACCTATGGTGGAAATGAGATCCCTCTTTCCTCAGGAGCTATTTTGGTTCCTTCATGACTGATTAAAAATTCTGTTGACTCCTTAAATTTACTCTAATGGGTATCAACATTTTAGTTAATCCCAGCCATTGAAAGTCATTTACACTTGAGACCCACTCTGGCCAATACTTGTCATAAGTGTATAGAGTACAATTCCCCTGTCTCCAGGTCACACAAGTATCGTACTCACGTTGCACTCAGATGGCTCGGGACACTATATAGGGGCTGAGGGTATCCACATAATCATAGCTTTCCTGGCTTACCTACCCCCGCATTTACTTTTCCCTTCAGAGACCTCATTTTCTCCCAGTCTATAAGCCTCCTCTTAACCTCATCTCCTTTCTTACCCAGCCTGGATCCTGGTACTTACCTACCCAAGTTATTGACCAGCATTCAAAGAGGTCTGCCTCCATCGTTCTTCCTCTGTGCTACTGCCAGAAAAAACTGAACCCTGATCCATACTACAATCTGCCTCCTTCCCTTACACGCTGTAGTGATGGAACGCTTCAGGTTTAAGAAAAACAAAAAAACATCAGGAAGAGTAACACTAAGACTAACACATAACACATGAATTATAATAAAGGTTCCTCATAAATTCTTTAACATGATCTTGGTGAGCTTCCTCAAACCCATTCCTCTCAGCAAT